GTCATGATCCCGGGGTCCTGGGATCGAGCCCCGCATCGGGCTCCCTGCTCCACGGGAAGCCTGCTTCTCCCTCTCCCACTCCCCCTGCTTGTGTTCTCTCTCTTGTGTCTCTCTGTCAAATAGATAAATAGAATCTTAAAAAGAAAACCTATATTTTAAACTCTTTATGTGTCTCTGGAAGTAGAAGTATTTTTAGTTGACTGACCATGTAAATGATTGGGCAGCATACTATACGTTTATATGGAAAATTTTATTTAATCATCCCTACAAGGAGAGTATTTTTATTTCCCCCTTTGACGGACAAGAAAATTAAGGCTCAGAGAAGTTAAGTAACTTGTCCAAAATCCCAGCCACAATTCTTTTTTTTTTTTTAAAGATTCATTTATTTACTTGAGAGAGAGAGAGAGAGTGTGAGTTGGGGGAGGGGTAGAGGGAGACAGAGAGGGAAAGAGAGAATCTCAAGCAGATTCCCCGCTAAGCATGGAGCCCCTCACAGGGCTCCACCTCAGGACCCTGAGATCATGACCTGAGCTGAAAAAAATCAAGGAAACAAGTGTCAGATGCTCAACCACTCAACCAACTGAGCCACCCAGGCGCCCTCCCCTCCCCACGCCCACCCCCAAGCCAGAATTCTTTTTTTTTTTTTAAGATTTTATTTATTTATTTGACAGAGAGAGATAGCGAGAGAGGGAATACAAGCAGGGGGAGTGGGAGAGGGAGAAGCAGGCTCCCTGTGGAGCAGGGAGCCTGATGCAGGGGGCTCGATCCCAGGACCCTGGGATCATGACCTGAGCTGAAGGCAGATGCTTAACAACTGAGGCACCCAGGCGCCCCCCTCCCCACCAGAATTCTAACCCACACTCATAACTGCTCTGCATCCAGCCACTCTTGGCGAGTACTCATGTTATGCCCGGCATCCCAGTTCAGTTATTGTTTGCTGATGAAAAGAAATGTCCAAAAAGCAGTTTTCAAAAGCAAGTCGGTGATAGGCGAAGTCATGAGTACATAGCTCATTCTGTTTGTTCTGTTTCTTAAGTTTGAGATGAGATTAAAAATAAGCAATGTACTACAGAAAAATATGAGGAAATAGCCTTTAGGAGGTCACTTCTCATCCTAAATAAACTTAATGTTGATATTTTTGTTCTTGAAATGTTATGGACCTACTCATAACATTGTACTTAACATTTTAAAATCTGTAATTTCTTGGAAATTTTAGTTCTATTAAAATATACTTTCCATATGCTAGAAATGCAATTTTAGGTATCTCACCAAATAGACTTAAGTGGTGACTAATAGAAACCTATGTGCTGATAAAGAGTCTTCTGAAGATTTCTTAAACTTTTTTATTATTTCTCATGGGAATGTATAATAGAGAAGAAAATATTATTTATTTATTTATTCATTTTGGTCTCAGCTGTGTGACCTTGGTCAAGTCACTTAACCTCTCTGGGCACAAATTTCCCCCTTAAAATAGAGTTGGATTAGGTCCTTTTAGATCTCTGATTCCAGGATTGCTTGTGCATGTTAAAGCATTCACTGGCTGTTTAGTTGTGCTGAGCGTTGGAATGTTCTGAGATACAGCTATTAAGTCTTATTTACTGAGACCCACCTGGGAGGAAGGGTAGACCCACCGGGGAGGAAGGGTAGAACAGTGGGGGTGACCAGAAAATCTAGCCAAAAAGAATCTTGCCACTGTCCATCGCATCTGTGAGTTGGGCTGTGCACCTAATGAGCCAGTCTTAGGCTGAGAAGAGCCCATGTTTGCCATGGATCAGAACATAGCGAAAGAAACCGAAAGAGTTTCGCTATGTTACTCAAGGTGTCCATCTCTGCACTGAAATCCATCCTCTACTTTCAGATTGCTGAATTCTAACTCATTTACCATCATCCGGGATGATGCTTTTGCTGGACTTTTCCATCTTGAATACCTGTAAGTTCTGTGCTTTGTCTCTTTTCTGAGCATTTAGCATGTCCATAGAATCGCTATCTTGCTTTCCAAGCAGGAACGGCATCTCTCAGAGAGCTTAGGGGTGGAGAAAATGGAGAAAACCCCATTCTCTTTTCAGCACTGACCTTTTATAGTTTACTTGTGCATAAACATGCTGGGACAGGAGGAGGTTGGAGACAAAGCGGGTGAAAGCAAACAAAGAAGGAAAGATATTCATTCATTCTCTGCTGACATTTAATTTGGCATGTAGTAAGCACAACTGGAGATTGCGTTGGATATTTTTACCTCTCATAACTAGGCATGGATTTGCTGATGAACCAGAAATAAAGCTGAAGGATTCTGAGTGTTACTTATTTTTAAGTAAAGTCTCCCTATATGGGGATACACCTTCATGTTTTTAATTTGGCTCTCCTAGATCCCGTTTGCAGTATCTCCTGTGGGCTGCTGCTGAGAGTCTAATTTTATTTTTTTCTTCTCTAAAAGAAGAGGGCTTTTTTTCCTTTTCAGGTGTGCAGTTTTCTTCCCGTAGCAATGAGCTTTGCCTGTGTTCTGATTTCGTTTCCTGATTTCTTTTCTGATTTGCCCCTCCCTGCCCCCTTCATGTCGGTTTCCCCCTTAAAAGCTTTCATCCTTGTCTTTTGTAACTTTGTAATAATATTAATCCTGCTATCAGATGGGATTTCCTTACTTAGCATTCAGAGGGATTTTTACAGCCTCGTCTCTGCTTTCTTATCTGAGGTTAACAGGTAGATGTTTGAATTCTAAACACATCCTGGGTCTAAAAAAAATCTGCTGATTTTATGTCCTTAGGAAAGAGGTCTCTGAAGGAATTCTTCCTCCAGAGTACACATAATATGTATACTTTCCTAACGGCCCTGATAGTATACGTAATATGGAAAGCGGGGTATGACGGAAGCTAAGCCTAACCAGGTTCTATCAAAGCACCCGAACAGCTGATGGCGGTAGTGAATGTAAAGCTATCGGTTTTCTCTTGTGAGCAGTTCATCTTACTGCCAAGGTTATTGAGGGGAAGTTCGCTTATCAGTCTATACTGAATTCTATTACTGAATAGACCCCTGATTTTAAAAAAAACACATCAAAAAGATGTCAGTACAAGAATCAAGAACTATTTCACTAACGAATGGCATCGTGTTGCAAAGCCTCTCCCTTGGACTATCTCATCAAAGACCCTCTTACATTTGATGTCATGGGATGCCATAAACTAAAATTTAGTTCCCTGTGGTCCTAGGGAATAGTTGGAGTGCATTCGCTTCATGTATTTCCCATAAAGACTTTAAAGCATGGTCAGAGTTATTACTGCAAGGTCCTGTGTGCAAGCCCTAAGCCATTTTAGCACAGAGCAAGAGGTTTGGCCCATGCTCAACTTCATTATATTTCCTATTTTCTAGTGGCTTAGAGATCTTGAGAGAATCCTGCCTTGTTACCCATTTGTTCAGAGATTAGACTGTGTAGGACATGCTGAAGTCAAGTTTGCCAGAAGCCAAGCTTAATGGAATTCTCCCTCGGCAAACTTGAAGGCAGAGATGTAAAACAATGAGCTCCCCTCAAGAGACAACGATATTAATGAAAGTATTAATAGCCAGGCACTGTGAAATATAAGAAGGTTGGAGTGGGGAAGATGTCTGGAAGCATTCCAGTCTTGCAGAGATTTAAGAATTTCTTGCTTTTGTATAGGGCTTTCTTTTTTTTTTCTTTTCCCCCCAAGATGTTTTTACCCACGTTGCCAGCTCTGAATGTGAAGCCTTCCATGCTGCTTTTGGAAGGAGCGCAGAACATACATTTGTGTGCACACATTCTTGCACACAAACCCAGCTCCCATGCAGCCTACCTAACCCTCAGAGATGAATGTTTTAAATCCATGCATGTTTTCAGATTTTGTTTTGAATATCATTTTTTAGAGATACTAAGTCGAGAAAATTCCGTTGAATGCTACTGCTTTTCTCTTTAGGTTCATTGAAGGGAACAAAATAGAAACCATTTCAAGAAATGCATTTCGTGGTCTCCGTGACCTGACTCACCTGTAAGTCCTATGAAAAATGTTGCGGGTCCTTCAAGGGGTGGCATAAAATCCACTTCCTGATGCCTTGCGCTTTCTTGGCTGCACTGTACATATTGTTAACATTCTCTCAAGGAAACTAATTTCCAGGTTGCCCCAAAGGTTTCTGTGCTGTTGATCGGACACCAGCCTAGTGTCATTACTCATGCACTTGGCTTTATGATCTTTTCCATCATCCTGATGGGCTGTTGTGGACCATGTGACTGTACGTGCCGTGAGGAGCCCGCTGAGCCGTGAGGGGTGGGCGGGGGGTTATGGAGGAGGCGGGAAGGAAACTTCCATCCACCCACACCTGCTGTGTGCCGGGCACATACCTGCGTGCTTCGTGAGCCCTCTCTTCTTTATCTTTCACGATATTTAGTGAGTCTCCATTTTACAGATTTGGGAACTGAGGCTTCCCTGACTCATTGAAGAATGTTGAGTGCAGGATCAAAATTAGGAAGAAGTGGAATAGAGACATTTTTGTGGTTGCTCTAATTTGAATGCAAATAGCTTTTTCTTTTATGTTGGATTAATCTGCAGCTTAAGCTAAGCTCTCTGGCTTCTTTAATAGCTTTCTGGAGGAAAAAAAAAATTAAACAAATTGATTTGAATTGGCATATCAGAATGAAGCAAGTACACACACTTGGCAAACTTAGGAAGCCGGAAAACATTGTGGCGGTATTTATGAAAATGTAAAAATAGTCATTGTCTTGGTAGGAGCAATTTATTAGCCAGGGCCAGGTCCCATGTGCATGATAGATATTTTGTGATTGAGTAAGATAACATGTCTCATCTTGGTGATAAAAGGAAAATTGGGAGAATAGGAGGATGTTGAGTGGGGGTTTTGGGCAGGGGTGATAGAACGTTCAGCAGGTTCAGCCTTGACTGATACACATCTACGGAGATAATCATTTACATCAAGTCCTGATACAGCCAAAGGTGTCTGTCCACAGGCTCAGGGAGCACTTGGTTCTGGAAGCCTACCAAGCAGAAGCCCTGCCTGAGTTAAATAAAGCTCCTAGAATAAGAAGATGAGGGAGGAGCGTGGGAAGGAGGTCCAAACATCTGGATCGGCACCATCGATACCAGAGAGTGTCAGCCTCTTGTTGCCATTATCGCTCCAGGTTTTCCTTCCTTTCTGGAAAAGTCTTGTTTTGTTGTTGTTTTCTTTTGTTTTTTCAGATTGAACCCAGATACCAAATCCCCATCTTCCTGTAAAGGTTAAGATAATGGATTTGGAGTCATGTAGACTTGGGTTCAAATCTCAAAGCCATCATTTATTAACATTGCTTCGCCTTTCTGAGCCAGAGTTTCCTTATCCTGAAGGTGTGGGTGATTACACTGACCCCATAGGATTGTTGCACATGGTGGGTTAATGCTTGCTTGCAAAGCATCCAGCCCATTACCCTTGGTAAACGCTCAAGGGCTCAGGGTATGGTTGGCGTTGCTACCATCATCATCATCAACAGCAATATCATTGCCTCCGTCCACTCATGAAGAAGTCTCCATTTTCTCCATGGACTGCCGAGGACCCTTGGCAGTGCAAGCGGCCAGACAGGGTCTGCTAAGAAGACAGCTGTGGGTGTCTGGAGAGGAACAGCTGTGGCCAGACAGATCTGGTTCCCAGAAGTCAGGAATGAGGGGCTTTGTTTTTGAGCAGAAGCTCTGGGCAGATCATGAACCTAAGCAAAGCCCATGTGACTGACTGAGTTAGCCCAGATGTCAATTTTCATTTGACCAATTGGCTGTGGGTCTTTGGTCTGAACACAGGTGTGACCACGCAGGTATTGTGCATGCATGTTTGCGTATCTTTGCACAGGTTTGCTCAGGGATGCATGGACGTCTATACATGGGTAGGTATGTGTATATAGTGTGTGTGTACATAACTGTGTGTGCATGCTTGTTATTCGTGCACACAACCACATGTGTATATAATGCATGCATATGTGTTAAAAGGCACCTCCTATTCTGTGTGACATGTGAAAGCAAGAGTCCTTTGGGTACTTCTTTTTTTTTTTTTTTAGAGAGAGAGAGAACATGCAGTGGCGGGGGAGGAATAGAGGGAGAGGGAGAGAGGAGTCAAGCAGGCTCCATGCCCAGCGCAGAACTCGACCCAGGGCTCGATCTCATGACCCTGAGATCATGACCTGAGCTGAAATCAAGAGTCAGATGCTTAACCAACCGAGCCACCGAGGCACCCCAGGTCCAGAGTACTCGCCCGATGCAGTAATTTGCCATTCTATAGTCAAGCGTATAGAACCCGCCTCTCCCCACTTCTCCATCCTCGTTTCCTGAAATGTCTGCAGAGCACTGATCTCTCCGTGGACCCCCGTGCACACCTGACTCATCTTATAACTGGGCTTTTCCTCACATCCTTCCCTTGACCGGAATGTTGTTTCTTCTACCTTCCACCTCCTATAATCTGCTTTTCCTTCCAAGTCCAGATTAAGTTCTGTCTCCGCTCCTGGAGCCATTCTTGATCTCCCCTCTGCCCTTCCCAGAGCCCTTACTCTGGTTCCACACACCCAACACTTGACCGTGGCAGTGGCCATACTGGTTGGTACTGTTTCATGATGTCAGTTTTATCCCCCCGCCCCCCCACTGCATTGAAAGCTCCCTGAGGGCAGGGCCCAGGGGGATGGTTCATTAGCTCTGCTCTTCCCCCAGGCATCTAGGACTGAAAGCCAGCGCGACATTCTTTCCGATTACCTGGTTGATCAATCAGTTCCTTACTGAGTTGGATTTTCCTTACATACTCTGCTTCTGGGCAAATCAAGTGACTTTCAAAATTGACTCCTTAGGTTGGAGATGTAGGTAGTAATTAAAGCATTTAATGCATTGTTTAAAGAATGAACCAGTCCTCCCCACTTCATCCCAGTTTCTGTAAACTTCTAAGCAAAGGGACCAAGAAGTCACTATCTGGACTTTGCTTGTTTAAGGATCTGGTTTTTATCTTTTATGACTTTTTCCAACACCTACAGGCTCACATTCTTGTTCTCAAGAAGCATAGATCAGGTTTCAAAGCATCGAAGAAGCAGTCCCAATCTGTAACTAAAATCTAGGACATTTGTTTTCCAGCAGTCCTATAAAGCCCAAGGGACAGGTTGCCGTTAAGTAGTTTTAGAAATGAAGTAAGTGCCATAAATTTGTAGACAAAATGAAGTGGAAAGTGAGATGTTATGCACTTAGCGTGAGTGGAGTGGATAGTCCATCTAAATAATTTGGCTTTCTGAAATCTAAATTGAATGCTTGGAAAGGTTGCTAAACATTCTGCTTTTTTTTAGCTTTGACCATTCCATCTATTCTTGTCACTTCAGTACCATACGTTTCAGTTAACTAAAAATGTTTAGCTAAATAATTAACTCTTAATTAGCTAAAAAAGTTGTTTGGACTTTCCAGAAAAAATGACCCTCAACCAACAAAAAAGCAAAACAAACATTTTTTTTTTAAATTTCAGAAAGCTACTTCTGGGCATGTTCTGTCTGATTCCATAGTCAGCCTATTGTCCAACATCTTTAAAAATGTACCAATAAATCATTTAGGAAAGAAAGATAAAATAATAGATGAAATTATATTTTAATCCATTTGTGGTTACCTAGGTGGGAAGGCACATAATTCTGAAATGATTAGGTCTCCCCATAGTCTCTTGGTATCTTGCAGCAAGTATGTTTGGGCTAAAATGGGCTCAAAGTTTTCTCTGCGAGCTGATGCTAAGGAGGGAGGAATGCCCATTTCTTTAATTCCCCTTTCTGCAGTGGATCACTATGAGGCTACGGAAGGCTAATTTCATGCATATATTTTAAAGAGGTTGGTGCTGACTCGCCTGCGTGTTTATGATTTATGCGTCTTGCTGTTTGTATTCCCCCATACAAAAGAAAACAAAAGTAGACATCAGTTTCTTGGCTGACTCCCGTTAGAGCATGATGCCCAGGGGGGAAGCACAGACTTGATGAGCATCTTTCAACACCCAGCATCTTTCTACGTCAGCCGCCCAGCACCACGGACATTCATCTTCAGCAGGATGATGACAGGGCACTGCATGATCCTGAATCATCAGAAAAAGAGTTGACGATATTCATTCTTCCTGGAGAGGGAGAGCAGACTAGGACATTTTGGAAAGATCTTCAACACTGAGAGCAAAAATGCAAAATGGTTTCTGGTCAACCTTCATTAGTGAGAAGATGCAATTGATCACAATCAGTTGTTCTCTAAACATTGTAGTTCTTTGCAATTTTTATATTATCATGGGGCTAGAGCTGAGCATCTTTATGTGAAAGAGTATTTACTGAATCCTTTCTTAGAGTCACAAGTCATAGAATTCACTTAGATGGGCTGTGAGGGAACTTCTTGGACAAGACTATACACCTTTTCTTTTATCTTTCTCACTTAAGTGCTTCCTTCATTCACTCAACAAAGACTTAGTGAGTTCCTGTTAGGTGCCAGGCACTGTTTAGATGCTGGGGATACAGATGTGGACTAACCCAAAATCTCTGTCCCCATGTTGCTTATGTATAGGGAGAATACACAGCCAATAAACGAAGAGGTAATTAAAGTAGGTAGTATGCCAAGGGACAGTCGTGCAGTGAGGATCAACAGAACAGGGAAGGGAGATGGTAGAAGTCAAGGAAAGGTGATCGTTGAGGACAGACCTAAAGGAGAGCGAGCTGTGTGCTGGAATGAGCTGTGTGGGTAGCTGGAGGAAGACCGTTCAGGCAGACGAATCACAAGTTCGGAGGCCTCGGGGTGGGAGCGTGCCTTGCCCATTTGAGCAGTAGCAAGGGGCCCAGTGTGGGCGTTCTGAGTAGTCAGAGATTCAGTCCATCGGTAAGTGGGAATGGGGGTAACTTGACAATGGAGAGTCTTGTACGCCATCAAAGGGATTTGGCTTTTATTCCGAGAAACATAAGATGCCATCCAAACTTTAAGAAATGTATATAAGTAAAGAGCTTAATAAATGCTTCTTTAAAAAACAAAGCAAAAAAACTTACATTGTACTCCAGCATCTGTAATGCTGTCTTTGTACAACAAATCTCATTTCTTTGTCTCAGTATCCATGCGCAAAGCCAGAAATTGAACCAGGTTGTGCTGAAGAGGGTTAGAACTCTTGTTTTAAATCATTAGCTTTGTTTCCGGGACTTTGGAGTGACAGGGCATGAGGATAATAACCACATTAAAATATGACTTTCTTGTTCTAGTTCTTTGGCCAATAACCACATAAAAGCACTCCCAAGGGATGTCTTCAGTGATTTAGACTCTCTGATTGAACTGTAAGTAAGGAAAATTAAGTTTATGTGTGCTTGTCATTGTGTCCCAGTTAATCATGTCTTTAAGCCCCCTCTCCCCATCACTGCATTTCTTTTATGCTGTAGTTAGGAATCGGTGACAAGAGTGCATGGTGGGAAACAGCATACATACAGTTTATATTGTATTAGTTAGATCTTGCCATGTTGGAATACACTTAGTAGCATTAGGCCAATGGTAAGATAGGCTTGCTGGTGTGAGGTTTCCTTTCTCAAGGTAGCGGATCCCTCTGTTTTATCTTCTAGTGTTTGTCACTTCTCACTGGACATTTATCAACAAGATCTTAAAGTTTCGATGGTGTTTGCAAAAGCGGTCTTCTTAGAATGTCCTGATTTTGTTTGTGAGAACCTGCATCTTGTGGGGGTGGTGTTCTAATGTCAACCCTGTCCCCCCTTCCCCATCTCCAGCATGGCGTGGTGACAGTTTCAGGAGAGTTTGGAGACATGGTGACAGGTTAGCTCTGTGAGCTCTCTGCAGGCTCTAGTTAAAATCATGATAAGTACAAGAAATAGGATGTATTAAATACAAATTTTTTAAATTTCATGTAAGTATATGAGGATGTTAAATCCTGCTGGATTTCCATATGACTGCTGAAACATTTCAGGCCTGTCTGTTTCTCTGTCGATGTGTTTGTGTTTCATTTTGTTTCTTAGCGATTTAAGGGGCAATAAATTCGAATGTGACTGCAAAGCCAAGTGGTTGTATTTGTGGTTGAAGATGACCAATTCCACTGTCTCCGATGTCCTCTGTGTCGGTCCACCAGAATACCAGGAAAAGAAGCTAAATGATGTACCCAGCTTCGACTACGAATGTACCACTACAGGTATTCAGAACCACTATCACTGAAGACTGTTACGGAGGATAATCGCTTTGTTTTTCTTTTAGGTCATCCACAGGGAATGGAGAAAAGCGGGTGTAAAGGTGTTCTGTCCAGATTATTTTAGGCAACGTTTAAGCGTTCTAAAAGAAATGAATTGATGCGGTCAGGAAAATATCTCAGCAGTTTGGAAGGATTTTTGTTAACTGCCCTTTGCCTTAATTTTGATTCTTTACACAATTCCTATCTCTCTGACTTTTTTTTTTTTTTTAAAGGGCCAAAGTATAAACTGATGAGTTGGGCATAAGCCCATTTACAGGTCAGGTTTCATGGAAGGTCAGTGCAGAGAGGCCCGCATTCCTGCTCTCGGGATGATCCGCTCTGGTCACCCCTCTCCTGATTGAATAATGTGAAGTTTACTGAATATTCAGCTAATAAATACCAGCCTTTAACATCTGTAAATTCCTTTTGTAGTTCTATGTACAAAGAGATAACTTGGTGAATTATAACCAATGGCAAAATAGAAACATAAGGGAACAAGTAGCTATCTAAAAAAAACAAAAAAACTCCTATTGAGGAAAAATGTACAGAAACTTTGATTTTGCATTTTTCCATGGCCTGCCTCAAGGTTTCCATTTATACATTTTACAGGTTATAAGACAAAATTAAAATACTAACTGCTTCCCCTGTTGCGTCTCGTGGGGAGCAGGGGCGTGTCTCCGTCTGAGAGGCCTCAGTGGAGTTCCTCCAGCTTCTAAGGACAGCTTTTAAAGGAAAGCAGATCAATCCCCAGTACGAAACCTGCTTACGAAACTCATAAAAATAACCGTTTCGGCTGAGAGCTGATACCTACAAAGCCTCAAGGCATGTCAGGGGGAATAGCAGGCATGAGAACTCAGAAAACAGTGACAGAAACTCAAAAGGAAAACAAAACAAAAAAAAAACAAAAACAAAAAAACAAAAAACCCTCCAAGAACCAACTGTGAGATTTAGGCCAGTCCTGCTGCCCTCCAAACAAATAAACAAATAAGAACCCACAAAGTAAAAACTATTTCTAGGTATCTTCATAAGTAAGGGACTTGGCAACTTCTCTCTCTGCTGGGAGAAAAGCCACAGATTCGTGGCTGCCCATGTCTTCCAGTTTGAAAAGGGCCTTACTCAGCTGTGTAACTGGCAGGTACCCTTTGGCCAGCAGAGACCACGAGCAGGTTATTTATTATATCACGGAGCAGTGCAGTAAATCAGAGCTCAGAGTCAATCACATCTGCACCAAAAGGTGGCATTCAAGGCCATTTGGTGTGAAATGCCAAACCACAGCTCCCCGGGGCTCCTTTCTGTCTCCGCTCCAGTTTTTCTGGAGAGTTCTCTATTTAAACCTCAGGTGAAGTGAGCCGCTTTTTCATTGTTCTCTTCACACCTGGCCAGAGTGGCTGAAAATTTTGCCAGTCTCTGGGAGACATGACATGGGCTATCCAGGGCCTGTGAACAGGGAATAATTTATATGAGAAAACAGGATTTCTGATTTTTGCAACCTGGGGATGGTTATGAAAATGATCTGGGCTCTCAGAATTGTCACAAGGGTAAAAGGGGCTTGGAACCAAGGTAGCCAGCTCTGGAAACCTGTCCTAAACCCAGAAGCCATGGGGCAGCATGAGCCCCCTAACATTTTAGGGCATCCTCCTTCTCTTACATATATTTGTCTTTGTTAGAAACCTTCCTACTAAAATTTAGACAGTCAGCACTACTCCCTGGTAACAGGCAGGTGATGATTCTATCGTTGCTACTGTTTTCTCCCTTTAAGACCCACGAACAAATTAGCTTTCGCTCATGGTTTCCTCCATCAAGAATAAATGGCGTACCCAAGCGGGGCCCACCCCCAGATACAGTCCCTGCCTTGTAAGAACGAAGTCAATAAATTCTGAGTTTTTTTGGTGCCTGTCTTCCGCTCATATCAAGCCTCATCCTTTGGTGCTTTATTAAAGACTGGGAGGGAAACGCGTGAGGATGGAAGGCAGATAGAAAGCCCCATCTAAGAGCCCGGGGACTAGTGAGGACGGCATCCTCACTACATTTTTGGGAAGAAGTACATTCTCTGAGGGCATTATTTTTCTCTTAGCTCGGATTTTCAGGAAAGGCGTAAATTCTTCAGGTCGGGGAAGGAGAGGAAGATCCTATTCTTCCCAGAGAGAGGAAGATTTCTCTTGCCATTGTGTTGTGGTGCCCGGGTATAATTCACACGGCAGAACCACTGCCGGACTGTTTCGGCTTCTGGCTTAATCACAGTCCTTCCATAACCCTCCGCTTTCAAGTCTATTTTTAACCACCTCAGAAATCCCTGTTACCTCCTCATGATTCCCCGTGTTAGGTGGGTAATTCGCTAAATTCCTAAGAGGGAGTGCATTTTGCATCCTAATTGTCCTGTTAGCAGGGGTTTAGTAGCTATCGCCGGGCTGATGAAATGCAAAGAGAAATAATGTATTAATGTGCAGTTTCTTTCCCAATAGGATCGGCGTCATGTATAATTTATTTTCTGCAAGGGCTATAAATAGCTATAAATAGCTGTGTAAAAATCTGTTGATTCCAGGGGGAGAAGGCCTAAATTGTAAGTGTCCCACTGACATCATGAACTTAATCCACCGTGAATGGAAGTGGCAGCGCTTTGTGGAGGGCGTGCCGTTAATACTTTAACACTAGTAAATTGATGTCATATCAATATGTGTATTGTTGGAGATCTTCGCACGACGAATGTGCTTTTGCCGGTCGTGAAAGAGGAATTCAAATGGGGACGGGAGAGGATCCTTAAATTCCTCCAGCCCCTCCCCACCCCCAACCCAATACATAGTGATCAGTCATTTTCTTTTCCTCCCTTCTTCCTTTCTCTTCTTCCTCCTCCTCCTCCTTTTTGGGGGTGGGGGTGGGGGACGGGGAGAAGGACCCTCCTATTAAGAATTAGATTTATAATTCAGATGATTTAACAGTCTGTGTTGTGCCAGATAGTCAGCATATAGAAAATATTATGAAACCAATGTTTTGGGAAAACAAATGAAAATAGAACCGTTAAAAGCCAGATTTGTAAAATGCTGTCTAATTTTGGCAGCTCTCTTTCTTTCTAGGGGTTTTTTAAATAAAAAACTGAAACTTGTTGGTCTGCCCTTTAAACAGCCTGCATTTTTCAGTGAATGCTCATGTTTCTGAGACGTCGGCGTGCAGGCGGGCGACGTGGGTTAGAGGCAAGGCAGGACTGTTGGGAACCTTCAGGGCTTGCGTTAGCAGAAGGCAGCCCGAGAGGCAGAAAGGGTCTGTGGCTGTCTCAGAATTAAAAGACCGCAGCTGTATTCTCGGAGTCCTTTTCTGTCTCCAGAAAAGGAAGCAGACGATGACTGCTACCATTTCCCTTTTTCGGTGTATCTACAGGTTGAGTTTTGTCCATTTGTACTCTTTGATGTACTCTAGTATCTGGGGGGTTTGACAAGGGACAGGGCTGGGAGCCATCGTGATCCTTCCTGAGTGTTCACGCAGCAACTCAACACGGTCATTGTTCTACAGCCTACAAAGCTATGGTATCAAACTCCCCATACACAGGACTCTAATGCTAACGCTTACACTCTCTTACATAGTCGCTGCGGCAACCTCACGAAATAGGTGTCACTTTTATTTCACTGATGCGGACCCTGAGGCTCAAGTTTCTTGCCCAAGGTCACAGAGCTGCAAATACAAGCGGGAACCCGAAGCCTCGCCTGTCTTAGCTAAAGCCTCAGCTCTTGCAGATGCTCTGCTCCCGGCTCTGGGGGTGAGGGGATCCCTCACAGTAGTGGTACTGTCACTTGTCCCCGCTCTCCCTCGGCTACTTCTTGCTGTCAGGTGCAGAGGCGGCCTCCTCTTTGCTTCTCCCTCTTGTCCCTGCACCTGCGTGCGTCGCTCATTCACCCCCAGCCTCCTCCCCACACGGTCTGCAGAGTGGACCATGGGGTGGGCGAGGCCAGCCCTCCCACACTCCTCTGCCAGCAAACATTTATTAGGCACCTACTGTGCACTCAGAATGGGGATAGGGACACCTCCAAAAGTGAGCATGTATTGAGCCCTCACTGTGTACTACGCACAACTCTACATGAGTAAGAATTAAGATATCCAATGAGGACACTAAACCAGACAGAGGTGAAATAACCTCCCCGAGGTCACTCAGCCAGACATCAGTCACAGCTCTGCCATGTCATCTTAGATGCCGTTAGGATGGACACTTCCTCAAGAGACAGCCCGGGGATGGCTGGGACGGAGGAGGCAGGCTGTCCTTTCTCAGACCTCAATTCCATATTTATGAAGCCCCTACCACGTGCCAGGCCCCGAGATGGGCACTTCCACCAACATTACCAATGCGTCCCTGCCATCAAGCTTGGCAGGTGAGAATCATCGCCCCCATCTGGCACCGAAGTAAACTGAGGCCTTGCCAGGGAAAGTGCACAGCCCCGGGCCTCAAGTGCAGGGGGTGGTTTCAGGGGGTCTGAATCCAGGCACAGGGCTCTTCCCTGTGCCGCATGCCGTCCTGGTTCCCTCAGCCCTGCTCCCTTCTCCCGCCGCTCATGATACCTGCTCTTCTCATCCCCGCTCTACCCTTCCCACCTCAACCCTTGCTCAGCGTCTCTCAGTCTCTCCCTTCCTTTCCTGCCTCTGCCCCATCAGCATTATCCTGCCTTTGCTCACCACTGAGTGGCTCACCCCTTTACTGTCTTTCTTTTTTTTTTTTTTT